GGGGGGGAGAGAAAAGTTGGAACTTCCAGCAGTGAACCCCAAATGACCCGTTGAACGGGGTGTACAAAACATTATAACGATTATCCATAATTTAAACGATATTCTTTTTTCTCACGCTCCTTCAGATTTGAATAAGGAAGTTTCCAAAGGAATTTGGGTGTGCACGAACTGTGAACCCTACCCATAACAGATATGAGCAACGCTACAATCAGACCACTAGTGAGTTCAAGTTCACAGGCCCAGCAACCCGCAGGTGTGTCCACAATGTTGCTGAGGCGAGGGGTACACTCAAACACTGGCCGTGTTTTTGACTCCCTGGCCCACTGGAGAGAGATCATGCTTAAGTAAATATAGATTTAATTCTGTCGGAGTGGGTAGATAAAAGGCCGAACTTTGGTGAGCCTAACCCATAGAAAGTTGAAGGAAGCTGAATAATATTCCTGTTTTTTTTTCTTCTTTTGTTTTGCTTTATATTATTGTTAACATGTGAAATCATAGGCCGACATTGAAAACGTTAAATCTGACAACTGTAGAAAGTAATTTATCAAAGCACAGACAAATAAATAGGCCACGATAAAGAGCTGTAGCTAGCATGAAGCTGAATGATATTCCTGTTTTGTTTTTTTTTGTTGTTTTTTGTTGTTTTTGCTTTATGTTGTTAACATGTAAAATCATAGGCCTACACTGAAAACGTTAAATCTAACACTGGTCTACATCTTTACGAAGTAATTCATCAAAACACATACTAAGAAAGATAGAAAGCTGAAAGGCTGTAGATATAATTTGGTATGCCTAGCTCACTGAAGTTTTGCTAAATAATATTCATGTCTTTTTTGTTTTGTTTCATCACATTAACCAATAACAGTGTCGGGCAACATTAAAAACGTTTAAGCCCATAGAGGTCGATAAGTTTCTGAAGTAATTCATCAAAACCGAGACTGGGAAAGATAGAGGCCTGTTATGGCAAGGAGTGAGGGACCAACGGGCGAACCCAGCGATGCTGGCAGGTGACAGGTGACAGGTGTTAACCAATAGAATTCCCCCCCCCCCCCGACGATGACCGAGACTATAACGCATTCTGTTCAACAGACTGGGTTGGCCCAGATCGAACTTCGGTCAAATCGC